TTTTTGTTGTAGTTAGTAGAATGTAGACGTAGTCCTAATAATAAATGGATTTTGTTTCTTTCGTTTACTTGCTTTGTTTAAAATATTAATATAATATATCTAATGCGTTAACACATTATGGGAATTTACCGAACGGTACAAATTATATTGAAATAAAAATTTATACTTAAAGCTCCTTTTATGGTTTAAAATATTATTGTCAATAACGGTTCTAAATATAAATCATCGTTAAACTAATTTTATATGTATAAAACTAACTGCACTTATTTCTATTAAATCTCTATGCCAAGGTGTCTGGTGATACACTACAAATTGGATGGACTACACTATTTTGACACCTTAATTGCTAACTTCAGAGCTGTTCAGAATCCAGAATTCTCACAAATACCCATCATCAAGGTGATAGTTACTATTTTGCCAGAAACGAATCATCATCATCATCATCAGCCTAACGCAGTCCACTGCTGGCAATAGGCCTCTCCCATTGCACGCCACATATTGTTTATTACTATCGACTTCCTCTTATTAGTTGCACCACTTTTGAAACTTTCGCCGTTTTCCTACCGAACCCACTAAATCGCAATTGTTATTAGTTCAAGGGTTCCGTTACTTGAAGAAATTTCTCACTGCTATTTGAGTTCCTTGGAAGGATTATGAGACGCCACTATTTGAACAGCTTCTATCTAAATATATTATTTCTTTCTAAGTTATTTTAATTTGATTTAATAAGGTTGCAATTTTCTTGGTTTACGTACCTGACCAGAAATAGTTCTATGTAACCTTGTAAATTTATATCTCTTTCTCGTTTCTATCCATCCATATTCTATCATCCATATACACAAGCACATAGGATCACACACACTCACCCTCATTAACACGTAGGCACTGCATAGGTACTCCAACAAACAAGCAGGCACACACATAATACTTACCAGACACAAAGTTACCACTATCATAACACAAAAAATTATTATTAGCTATTAACATAAACATATAACATAAAACATAGCGAAGTTAGCTTTGAAGATGAATCTACTTTTAGCATCATTTTTTACTGAAATACTGAAATTAATTTAATGTTTTTTTTAAATAATAATTCGTCAACCGATGTCGAAAACAATTCGACTGTAACTTTGTATGGAACATATCTCAATATTTTAAATTCCAACTGTAAATGATTTTCCTTTGCAAGTAGAACAGGCTCGACTTTTCTACTGCTACAAAAACACGTCTACGGCGCGGCGTAGCAATCTATGAAATTGTATAGGCCTAAAACGAAATAATACCCCAACTACAAAATGATTCAAAGTAGCGATTACGATCACGTAATTTTATTGTGCCCTCTTATATTATTGCTGTTTAGATAAAATGGAAGTGCAAAAATTTTCCTGTATCACAAAATCGATTACGCAGCCAGCGGCCCCTTTTACTCGTATATACGCCCAGTCATTGTCCGCTACACCTTCGTGGCCCTCTCATAGTTGCCACTTCTGTAGTAAGTAAGCACTCAAAACATTTAACATTGAAGAGGGCACGTGTATGACATCATACCAAAATAAATCTAACGTAATGATACTACAATAGGTATTGATACTTGTTTTTTAATGATTATCGTCAATTACTTAATTGTAGTTTATCTTATACTGAAAATGTATGTACGAATTTTACGTAGGCTAAACCTTAAGAAATACTTAAAAATTGTACTAACCATGCGAAGCCGGGACAAGTCGTTGATATTTAATTAGTAAAACATGTATTTAAATTACAAACAAAATCAATGCTTTTGAGGTGATCCTTATATGAACTCACTATTTTAGTATAAAGTTTAACTGTCAGTTTACAGTTTACTTCTTTCATGAATCATTCAGAAAATCAGCCTACATTCTTGTGATTCATTACATTAAATCACAGGAAAGATTCTTGATGATAAAGTGTAAATAAACATTATTGTTTATCTTGACCTCATGATCTTAAAATACTTGCAAACAGTTAGCGAGATACTTTAACCTGACCTGTTTCCCACAAGCGGATTACAAAATGTCGTTTCCTCAGCTACAAAGACCGGAGGGGTGGCGTCTATCGTGACACCGTAAGCAAAATACGGAATATTTAGCGAGGCTTATTGTAAGCTTTGCTCGTTGACATTATTGTTCCGGTGTGATTGCGGATTTAGGACTTGACGTGATGTGGGACATGGTTTTTATTGCATACCGATTACAAGCAAGCGGTTATTTTATGGACATTAACTTTTTTGTTTCGTACCTATTTAGCGAGCCACGATTATGTTTGGTGAATGTAATATGTAAGAGTCAAGCAATGCTTGCGATGTGTTTTTGTTTACTAAATGGCATGCTAGTTTATCATAATAAGTCGTATTGAATCTGATAATGTCAATTTAATTTTTCTTTGAATGCGACGTTGCACGGTACAAAATATTTGACGTTTGAAGAAATTGTTTATAACATTCTAAACCATTACTATTTAATATAAATATTTACCAGTACTATTACATTCATATATGTAATAGTACTGGTAAATATTTACTTAAATATTCATTATTCACAAGTATTTTTAAAATTTTTAAGTTGCATAAAATGAATAGGACAGACTTTTTTTAAAATTAAATTTAAGTGCATGCTCTGGTCATTTCTATCCGCAAGTCCATAATTTGTTCAATCCATTAGCGAGTTACGAAACCACAATAGGCCATTGCCACTCCTACTGTTATTAAATTCAGTTCAAAAGAAATGAACCATTGAAAAGCGCTCAATTCATGAAAAAATTGTATTTCGATTCAGATCACAAATGCGGAACAGATCAGAACAATGTAATATCATTATTATAAAAGAAATAAAGTAGAACAAAAAACGGCAAAAAGAACATTTAAATAATAACGGGTTAAATGTAACTCTTCGCGGAATTTTCCTTTGTGGAAAAATGTTTATAATTAAACAGCGACTGAGAGTACTTAAATACAGAAGAAAGTGTCGTTGTTCTTTTTGAAAACATATTTTTTCAGTTGCGTCAAGATTATTATTCATTCTATGTTCCATTCACAGACACACATTCCATAATCATTTGTCCATTTTTTGAATAATCGGTACTAGAGGACTTTCCATAGATAGTACACGGATAACAATTCTCCGTATCCTATGTGCAGAAAGTCTTCTGACTATAAATATAGAGTTGAACTACAATTGAGGCCAACTTTTTAACATGGATACTTCGATTTACGTATAACATTCGAAATACATATTAGCGAAGAGATCATGCATTTATTTAGTAAGACAATCTTCTCTCTGATTCGTTTGTTACTGACAAAATGTTTCCTTGCCATTAATAAATATCGATATTTTGTCCATACTAAGTAATTGGCTATTACATAACAAAGTGTCGTTGATCGGTCCTTGTCCACACGAGTGTGGACAGTGTTATAGTTAATGATATGGCGCAAGAGAAGCGGCCAAGTGAGAAATAGTGTTTCAATAAACACGGGCGGCGCGATCACCGGGAAAATTGACCGATTCCGGCAAATCCTCACAGGAAAATGTCATACGATAGCTTTTTTTCTATCCAAAGAACCAAGGAAGATTTAATATTTATGGATGAAATGTGAAACGAAGCGGATGATTTAAAGTGCCTGATGTGGAAATCGTTCCTCGCAGATTTTCTGACCCAGCGAAAGTAATGTCCTTCTTTACCGTTTCACGTACCAGTTGTTTTCTTTCGTGAGAAGAGAAAATACCAAAATGTACCTTCAAGGTGGGCGAGCGTGTTCCACGATTTATTCCTCCCTTTGCAAGTCACTTTGGAAAAATATTTTTATTTGTTTATTTACGGAGATTTGGCTCTTTTGATCTCGATTGTAACAGAATTCGGATGGTTCAACAATACCATATCTGTGTACGTTGTTCTTTTAGTTAGCGGTTTTTTGTTTCAAAGATCCGAATATCGAATAATGTTTTTAGTTTAAAACAACATAACGTAGTACCTCGATTTCCACAAATACTGTGCAGATCATTATTTGTTAGCTTAAAATTTCATGTCAATATCTTCTTGAAAGAGCAACTTCGACCTCATTGCTATTTAACATGTAATGAAAGCCAAACAAACTTCCGAAAGTACCTTAAAGACGAACACAGGTATAATTAAAAAATCAATCGTATTGTATCAACAGTATACGGAATGTAGTTTCTAAAAGCCACAATGAAGCCAAGTTCGCCAAGTGATTCGACTTTTCCCTACACTTTTGTCAGAGCAGCTGCTCACTTTGTCTGAACTTAACAAGGTCGAACTAATAGGCATTAGACTCATTTGTTACACCTCTACGCTTCGCCGCCCGCCAAAGAACGTAAAAAGGGAGACGGTTAGATAGCCCGCAACTCCCAAATCTTATTCGGTGCTCCAGTCAGAATATCGCGGAACCTTTGTTGGCGAAAACATCATTATAAATATCGAAATATTTTATGTTTTTTTATCTGGTTATTTAAAATAGGGTTTTATTTGATTTGTGTATGATTTAGAATTTTATTAATTGAATAAAAATATGACGTACCGATTGCTCTTTTCACTTGAATGAAATGTGAAGTGTCATACAAAGGTACAATATATTTGGGACTCGGTTCGAGCCCGCTGCCGTAATCAAAAGGCTCTCTTGGGAACAATGGCGCCCACATCGGGGTTGGCCCGATAAGCCTCGACAATTATACTACATAGACTTTTCAATTATCCAACCGACTCTTCCTCGCGAACAATGCCAGCTTTATTTATGTATATTAGAACGGTCATTTTATACGTTGTGTGCCATTTAGACTAGTATTTGTTTCGAGCAAATCGAACTCCATTATGAGCATTTCTAGTAAGAGCTTTTTTAACAATTTTCTTAGTAAAATCTTAACAGTTTATATCGTCATCAATATTTTTTTAAAGGAATATAAGTAAGAAAAGCTTAAAATTTGAAATGTTTAATTAAATTAAAATTATTTTTTATTTTTTGACAGGTGAAACTGGAACAGAATGTTGGCAAGCCGTCGAGGGTAATCCACATACGGAACATACCCAATGAGACGACAGAAGCCGAGATCATACAACTGGGCCTGCCTTTCGGGAGGGTCACTAATGTGCTCGTGCTCAAGGGCAAAAATCAGGTAAGGATGATTTTTAGGGTATCAGATTTCCTAAACTTGTTTACATAGTATGGAATGAACTTCGATGATGTGAAACTACCTATTCTGGGTATTTTTAGGTAGAGCTTTGACTAGTTTTTAGACGGGTGTGATGGATAGATATTTTTTTTCAGTGCAAAAAAAATCTAGATACTAGCGGCCTATGGCACGCTGACGTGTACCATCCTTTCAGTTTATCCTCTTTTATGCAAAGGTTTTACCTTTTCCATCATTTTATTTTCTTTTACCACTCAAATATATCAAGTGATGTAGTGATGTGAACATGTGGCTAAAAACGATAACAAAAATGACAAAAAATCTCGTAGAGATACAGAAAATTACGCGGTTTAAAGATTTGCGTGAATTTAATTTCACTCAAATAAAAATTGTTATGAATGTGTTCACATAATATTTTCTATTGTTCCGTAATCTACTTGAAACCCTCATATACACAAACAAAAGGCTGTAACATTTCAAATTGCAAAATGTAATAGGTGTTTTAAGTAAAAGCATAAGCTGTAATAATATATTTAAATAAAGACATAATGGCAGTAAGCTTAAAATAAAATAGTGATTATGAGATTAATACATCTAAGTTGACAAACAAGCACACTAATGTATCATATTTTTGGAAGCTATTCTAACTAATACTATTATTATTTTTTCTGCTTTAATGGCATTATTGTAAAAATAAGAAAGTTACTTTAAATACATAAATATTTTTTTTTGCCCATTGTTTACAATATCTTAAATGGATATTAAAAAATATATTGATACAACAACTGCCAGTAGGAACAAGTCTAAACGTTTTCGTTTCAATCTCGTATCTTAATACCCACCAACTGGAACAGATTAGTTGAATGGTATGGGCTCCGTACGAAGCCACTTGAGGTTTTACTCGAACGTACGGGCATGGATAAACGGAACGAAATAGAGATGGAGTACAATCACAGATAAGATGACACACAGCAGTGTTGTTTAAGTACATATGTTATAGATAATTACAGTACCGTCAAATATGACGCGATTGTATGTTAGTTAAATAGACATGTCTTTAGCAGCTAAACTTTTAGTTCTGAATGTTACACATTTGCATTCTGCCACGTTTTTTTTTAATTCAGACTATATTAAACTAGTCTAAGTTGATCAGATACGTTCTCTAACATTGCTGCGTCTTAAAAAACCTAAAAATAATTTGTTTTATTACCACATAAAATAGCATTAAAGCAGCGACTCACGATTCAATCTTATATTATGTAATTATGTTAAGTGTTAATACATAGATAGCTATTCAATTAACGTGACCGATCGAGAAAATTCCTAAAGCCCAAATGTCATTCTAAGACCAACTTCCAATGTCTTAATATGTAAATATGTTTAAAATGAAATTAATTTCACAAATATTTATCGCTTCGCAATAGTTACTGTTACCATGATTTTATACATATTTAGAACTACTTATATGATACTGGGTTAATCCAAAATTTTGAACTCTAAGGCTTTTCTCAAATGTCTAAATTGTATGTAATTTTTTTTTGTACTTGTTACCTTGATTTTTTACTCGACAATACTAGAGAAATTACTTCTGGTTTATTAGTAACCTTCAATAAAGGAAAGGTATTGCCAGACCTAATTCGAGAAAATGTTTGCTGTATCTTCTTCGTTTTCGAAATTTGTGTTAATAAATAAACCCGCCGTGATTTCATATATTAAAACAGTAATATATCGACAGTTAAACTTCTAGTCGTTTTTTCTAGCTATGAATATAATGACGTCAAACAATGTCTTCTCTTAACCCTTCCCATTTAATAAGTGAAGTTCTAAGTAACGGAGATACAATGTGTGAATGCTTCTGGGGAAGCACAACAAGTGTCTGCCACTGTCCGCATATACGCTGCTCACCATTGGGGCCGGATTATGGTTACGTCGATTTATTTTAACTGGAGTGCTATAGCCTATAACTATCTATATAGTTGTTTGATTGGAGATTTAGGAGACCTGCACTTCCAAACAGACATATGTAGTAGTACGTCGTTTAGTTTTACTGTCCTAACATTTTAATACAATCGTAAATTAATGAAAAACGGTCGTAACAAGAATGCTTATTCTAGTTTAGGCTAAGAACTTATAATTGATGAAATTAGAATTGATTGTCATTATATAGAGGGCAATTGTGCAGGCAGGTCACTTTCTGGTGAGTTACTACCAGCGTACCAGTTACAACTGCGTTGCCCGCCTTTGAAGTGGTACTTTTTGTAACCACGTTTCTTATCGCACGTAACACGCTCTGAGCGGGTGGGAGCGAGACCGAAAAATGTGTAACAAAACTTTTTTCCGACACTTCGTTTGTCACGTCGACACACATCTTTTTCATATTTCAGATAAAAAGATGTGTGTCGGCTAAAGTAACTTCGTTCCGACCGTCTCCATAGACCCCACACGAGGTTTTTTTTCACATTCGGTCTGGAAATACCACAATGGCAATTTGACCCACAGATTTGTTATGCAAGCCAAAAAGTTTCTTGAAAAGCGCACAGCGGTGGACGTACCAATTATCCAAGTGATGGGCATGGATGTTTTGCCGCGTTGAACGTTAAGTGACACACATGCACACTAATTAGTGACGTAAACTGAATCTAACTATCGGTTAACATACTGGTACCCGGCGGCGTGCGGCTTTTAGTCGGTTCGAGTCCGACATAGCCACCGGTAGGTGTTATCCGAGGGGATTTCCACACAGAAAAAAAGGGGTAAAAGGAATACAAAGCTAATCCTGATTATATTATACAAAGTAATATTTCTATCAAACGTAAGTTAAAGTCACGTAAGAAATACAGATTACTAAATATCGTGTCCTTACAATGTGTAAGGATAAACTTTTTTTCTAAATACATTTAAATGAAAAGTTTACAAAATAGACAAGGAAATTTAAATTTTTCTAAATGAATAAAATTTTATGTAAATTATACCTAGTCGATTGAATACAATTTTAGTATGATCGACGTCAAACAACCAACCTTTATCTGTTGTGGATTCCAAAATTAACAAATATTCTATATTAGATATTTCAACAAATATTCTATATTTTAGTCTCTTATTTATTTTTCTGTGACAGAATTGAAACTCGAGGGTGAGACTTCATTCATTCATTCGTCTGAAATTATATTTAGCGGAAATTAAAGACTATGAGGTCTTAAATAATATTTCGATTTGACCTCAAGAGGCTATTGGCAAGATATCTTCTGATTTACGTATTGTCAACTGGAGATTCACAACTTTTAATTTTATTTGTGTCACTTGTCTCGTGAATCTAGGAAGTGCAGAACCATCTAAAAGAACATAAGAAAGTTCACATGATCATGAATTTGAGCAGAAGAGAGCAAGTTATGAGACGACAGTCCGATTTTATTGCGTGTTTAATGTCTAACCACCTACCGGGCACGTGCACGAGAAATTTACGATATACCACTGACAAATTAAAAATGGGTGAGTTTACAACCCAGAAATAAAATAATAAAAAGAAAATCCTATTATGCGAACGCAGCCGGGAGGCTGCCGCGACAATGTTATCCCATCTAATAAATAGCCCGTATGACATGCACCCTCTATATAGCGTGGCGTGAAGAGAAACAATCTCTCTTCTAGCACGAGAAACAAGTCGGATCCCTTTTTATGAACGATCACAGGCTCCATACTCGCCTTTTCTCATGAAATATGCCTTTTGTAGCCTCACTTAGGTGCAAAATAGTGTAAAATTTTTCATAAGTTTTCATTATCTGTATGGTTCAAATAATGGAGCTTTTAGCGGCGGTATTGCTTTATTCGGGCATGTTTGTTTTCTTTGTAAAAATATAGTATATAGACTAAAACTAATTAATATAGAGTACAAAATGCGGTGGAGCTAACCTTTGACGTGTTCGTGAGTGGATGATGTAAGTATTGTTGGTAGTTGATAGTTACTGAACATGTGAGAGTCCAGTTTCAAAGCCGCCCTCTGTCGAGAGATAGGCAAACACCAATGTGAGTGGGTGCCGACAATCGCCCCCACTCTCGGTGATTAAAACGAAAGAGGCGTTGACACTATTTTACGATCGGTGCTCGTCGCGGACAGCTCGCTTCTATTTATTTGTGCTGCATCGATGCAAAAAACATTCCGACACGATGACTTATTACTAGCTCTTTATTTAAAATATAATGCTATTTTTATATATTATGTGGAACAAAAACATTTTTTTGCTTGTTACCGCTTTTCGAAGACTCTCCACATAGAACTTTCCTCGGAACTTATAACAAACTTAATTTTGGTGTTTATAAGTTATTCTTAGTAAACATCGATAAACATCATAGTTAATCTTCACAAAATATCACAGTTTGTAACCGTGATTTTTTTATGTGATATAAGCACCTACCGATTAATTACGTTTGTTTTGCTAGTAAACTATAGTAGAACAAATTTTTTATAATTTTTTTATTGGAGAATTTGCCATTGCGTTGACCATTTAAACGAGGTATGATATAAGTAATCATACTAGTTCTGAAATGATGAAAGAGCATCTCTATTTATTCACTATTCGCATTAAGATCACTAATTATCAAATAAATATATTTCTTTATTAGAGCTTGTCAACTGATGCTTATTTAGCCGCATTCAATTACTAATTTTAACTGTTTGATTTATAAATATTAAATGCTACTACGTAGGCTGTACATAAACATACTTACCGAATAGACTACATTATTTCAGACGACTGATCAACTTCGTTTGTTTCTCATTTGCACGTATAGGAATATTTTAATTAGCCTTCTGTTCTATTTAATTTGCGGTGGGAAACACTTACAAAGAGCGGTGTATTTCGTCCGATGCCAAAAGCAGAATTCTGCGGTTTGAAATGACGTGGCATCAGACGAATTTAACTGAAATAATAACACGTTAAGAGAATGATGCAGGTTGCTGAATTGAGCGGTAAACCTGCAGTGTTGTGAACAAACTTTACGTATGGTCGGAGGACTCGATCCGGTTAATTGAACTCCACAGGCCTGATAAATACAAACCCTGTTTGGGGTATGCCACATTACACTACCGTCGTTGTTAGAAAATTGATTTGTCTCCACTTCAATTAGTGAACAATTTAGTTTGTAGAGAAAGCTTCGTCGTAATATGTTAGTTTAGCAGCAAAACCTTAGTGATGTAAAATGTCGAAGTTACAATAACATTAATTAGAGTTTAAGCTGGTCCAGTACTCATCTGTTACTAAAATGGGCTTCATGTTAGTAGTTTACCTAACGTAAGATTCCAATAACGTAAGATTCATATTGCTATTAATGTTTTATATTTTCATTTTCAATCAAAAAGTTCAGATAGAAATACTTCAAATGAGAAATCAGTGAATATCGCGTTAGTCGTAAGTTACGTTGCTTTATTACGTTGTCTAATTACATAGATATTACTAGTTTATGAATGGTAAAAAATAGCTTTTTATAATTTTAAACTTCGTTTCAACAAATATTTAGCGACTGAGTTGAGATAAACACCAAGTTACATTACGGAGTTTGGTAATAACGGAACACACTTTTAGGATAGTTTCCATATTTGAAATTTTAACCAACACTAAAATCTGTTATTTTATCCAGGCCTTCCTTGAAATGGCGGAGGAGATATCGGCGGTGGCAATGGTTGCATACTTCGGAGGTTGCGTAGCACAGCTGCGTGGCAGAGCGGTCTACGTCCAGTTCTCCAACCACAAGGAGCTCAAGACCGATCAGACGCACAGCAATGCAGTGAGTTTTGTAATAAAATTGTTATCTTTTATATTTTGCAGGGTGAAGGTGAAATCAAGAATCATCAACAATATCTAATTATTTTTTATTTAATTTATGATTGTTTCTAAGGATTTTACGAATATAAAAGTAAATATATATAATTATTAAATAAAATATTCGAACTATATACAGTCCTAACGAAAAATAATACTATAGATTTAGTTCATCCAGGCAACAAAAACCTAATGGAAGTTCTGTTCCGAATAGCTTACACCCCATTCGTATTAGCGTAACAAGTATTAAATTAGCTTTATTACAACAACAAGTTGATTGCGTATTTCGATCAGGTATTGAAGGGAAACAGCACCCTGCGCTAGGCTGCCTTTCGACCTGTTAATTTACTCTTCGGGACATCGAGAACAATTTAGATAACAGTATTCAATAAGCCCGCATGCCGCGACGGGACGTAGTCGGTACATTGTTCCAGTTTGATTGAGTTACCAAACTATTAGAGAGACTTTACACTTTTCGGTCCGATTCGTCCCGTTTAAACGATACTTTCGTGTAAAACTTATGGTTTTTAATGCCAAGCAATTGACAGCCAACACTTTTGACCACATCACTCAGTTGCCGTATTTTATCATAAATATGTTAGTGGTATGTAGTATATGTATGCACTTTTAATGATCGATGATCAATACGTGTACTACGTGACATGACATAGATATAGTAGAGATCAGATAGTATCTAAATAAAAGGCGGTTACAGTAATTAAAATAATACAAATAAAAAAAATAAAAAAACAACTTGTGGGTATCAATTTTGATTTAGTATGGAAGTGCGTAACTCCGTGTGGTGACGGATTAAGAATACAGAGTGTCACCCCTATTCATCCCGTGGGTGTCGTAAGAGCCGACTAAGGAAGAAAACTAAGCAGAACAACAGCACTGCGGAGAGAAGGAAAACTTGACACAAACCCTATACAAACCCGTCTGGCCAGCGTGGTATAGTAGGCCAAAACCTCCATTCTAAGAAGAGGCCTATGTCTAGCATTGGACTATTAAAGACTGTTGATGTGATGTGCATAACTGGGTTTTCAAAGCAGACCAATGTATGGCTGCATTATGTGCAAGAGTGAAATCTGCAAATGCGCAATCACCTTTATAGTTTTGTCTCTTTGTCTATTTTAGCCGTGATACAGATGGTTCGTGTCGTGACTACTGAATAATTCCATAAAAGTTACCTCGTTTGCGGAGGCAAACGATCGTAAATGATCGCATTTGTTGTGCGATTATGCTGTTTAGCATTCTTTAAGTGATCTTGATTTGTGATTACAGTATGTTTACAATGTTGGCAATCACTTTAAATGTAAACAAAAGATTTCTAGTTGAGTTGTCTGTCTATTCACAACAAAATTGTGTTCCAGAAGTCACAGTTCTGATATCTTCTGCCATTATAACTACAAAATTTAGTGTTTATACACTTTTAAATATGAATACCATGTCATTAGAATTAGAATTGTATAAGAGAAATACTTAAGCACTTTGTTTATTTATTTATTAATACACTATTACAATGTATTTAAAAACGTCTCGCCACTTACAGGTTGGAAAATTCTTATTACAATATCCATCAGATGTTTTTTTTTTCATTACACTGAATATTAGATAAACTAATTTAAAGTATAGATCATTGCGACTTATGCATTTTTACCACACGTCACACAGGCTTTACATATATAATTAATGTCTTCTCTTAATATTTTCATGTACCAATAATGATGCCCAACCATTTAGTGGCGTGTCTTGCTGATATAGTAGGCCAAAACCTCCTTTCTCAGGAGAGGCTTATGTCCAGCAGTGGACTATTAAAGGCTGTTGATGATGATTGCTGATTACCTTACAGCTTATTGTATTTTAACACCACCACTTTATTATTACGCACAATAGTTTTGCTATCTCCAGATCCCCAGTTATAAATTAATAGATCAACACAAATTATAAAAGTTAAACTTAAGTTAGTTCTCGCGGTAACTAACCCTTTGGGTAGTTCTTTGTGTTCACAGATTACGTCATCGAATCTGTTCCCTTAACCACTTCTAACGCTATTTAGTTCGTCTTTACTCTTGGTTTGTTCTCAAACTCAAGTTAGTGAACAACTTGTTGTCGAAGAAGAAAGGTTGGATTTTGGTACTTACGTACCTATTCGTCACTTGCAATAAATGAACCAGCTTTTGCCAAACCACCCTAAATAATACGATCTTTTAGGATAAGGTTAGGTAAAAAGATAAATGTCGAACATTTGTGAGTGAACCTTTCTTACCGAAGGCTCCTCGCCGCTGAGAATTGAGAAAGGAAATCAATATTTTCGGTAACAAAACACCCTATGGAAGGATTAATTAAAACGCTTAATTAGTTTCGTTTATCTCCGAAACCTATCAAAAACAAACCCTCAACCATTTCAATGGCTGATGATATTGAGAAATTGTTCTTACCTGGAAATAAGAGGAAGGGCTCGTGTTAGATACATATTTACTATACTATTCACATACTAAATATTATTTCATTAAACTGAAATATGTACATGTTATATGTTTTTAAGTTTTGGTTGAATTAATGGATAAATCAGCTAATATATTATAATGTATAGATAAAAGTTAAATGTTGATAGTTAGTATCAAGCAGAATGGCTATATATATATATATATATATATATATATATATATATATATAAGAGACATATTAATTTTAAAATATTGTTTATTACCACTGATAATAACGGCAATGCATACAATAATACAGTTCACGACTAACTTCGATTCCAGATCGACAATAGATAGCTTCAATGAACAACTTTATCGTTTTATCCAACATTAGTTATTTATTAGTACATTTTGAACAAACTTAACAAATATCATGTTATTATAAAATAACATGATACATTGTTTATTAAATAGTTGCAATTGTTTGATCTAATTGTCAGCCGCGCAAACAAGCGTTTGTATCAACACGACTGCTAATTAATGTGATGATTAAACTCAAATGGATACAACTAGGTGTCTATTATATGTTTGTGTTAAGCTCTGTTCCCTAATGTACATAGTAAATATAGTGGAATAACATCTTAGACGAATTAGTGCACAGTAATTAGTTTCGTCTTACATTTGTTGATAAATTGTTAGGTAAATAATGGCGAAACATACCTTTGTTTTCTTTATTTAACTCCCTTGGATCTCTCCAAAGCTAATAGTGAAGTGGTATGTCAGAACCAGACTTCATAAGTCATATACCGTAAGGGACACACGAGTACTTTAGGAATGATATAAATATATACTAATAGAATATATAATTAATTCAATATATATGTTATTCGATAAGGGCCCCTAAAACTGTTATCAATATTTTTTTCAATGCTTTAAATGATGCTTATAGGTAATAGAGCAACTTTTATATCTGCTAAAGTTTTATATTGTATGTTGTATTATTAGATATTTATTTTTGCTCACCATTGTCATAAAGTATTGTTATTCCAACTATTTTGCTATTGATATTAATAGAAATTATACAGGTCCTAAAGATACGTGGTGTAGTAGATGCTTTCTCCCGAGCTTTATACCTTTTATCACAAACAACATTTATTCAAATTTCAAAACTCAAATTTAAATGGTTCTGTAAATAAAAGTGCTCATTATTTTGTACCTGGAAATTCTAGAAGATGGAGGTAATCCTACTATGTCATGCTTTCCCCGATATCTCATAATTATGTGGCTTCGTTCCGCCTTTGTAGAGGTAGTGCCATAGCAAAAGTTCATTTTTTATGACTTCTTTGTCCTAGGTGCGCTTTATTCCTCGAAGATCTCAATGGGATTGTACTAGTATTTGATCTATCTACTTATTTATTGCTGTAAATAAGGAAGAACTTTTATTGCAGAATGAAATAAAACAACAGTATTTAATTTTTTTGTAACTTTGTAACAATAATTTAACTAAAAATTCAGAGAACATGTTGTAACCGGTTCCAGAACTGCTTCAGTTCTGGCATCCATTGTCAACAGTTACCAATAATGCCTAATGAAATTTAACTTTTGTTTCGCTTGAAAAAAAAATCGAATCTATCGAATCAATGTTGCAGACGGGTTGCAGTTTGCAGTGCTGTTGTTCTGCGTAGTTTGCTTCCTTAGTCGGCTCTTACGCCACCCGTTGGATACGAACCTCATTAAACCTAAAGTTTCATAAAGTCAATCACATACATAGTCTAAGTATTTTATTCCAATTCTTTTTACTTACATATTTCCGCAAACCAGTATCTTATACGTGGTAAGTGGAAGACTTACCGTCTCGCGTCATACGTAAGGATGAGCTTCATCAGTTTTCAAAACGCATTTCAAAAAACATGGTTATTTATTCAGTTAATTTGTAATATATGTACATAAACTTATAGCGATGCAGATTCAGAAATCTCTACAATAAACGGTTGTCATTTTTTATAAGTTACAAAGTGGATTTTTCTCTGTGTTCATTTCTATATAAAGACCTTTACGTGTATAGATGTATTATAATAAAATAAAGAAAGTGACATAAAAGGAAACAATGTAAACTCTCATGACGAATCCGACTTCAGCCATCCTTTATGCGACAAATAAATCAAAGTTATCAAAGTAAGTGATCATAAAACTGTTATATGCTACTCGGTAGGTACTTTATCTTTGTCGTGCACTACACTCTTATACACAAATCTATCTGTTCGAACGCTTAGAACGAAAGGCATAAGCAAAACGAAGAGATAACACGTCTTATAGAGATTTATTGCTATATAGTCACATTTTGGGACCTCTTTGTACTTCCCTACTACACTATTAAAACTTATAACGAGGCGAACGCGACACTAAGCGTTGTTATTACAATTCACATGAAAAGAGATGGTTTAACACATTGTTATAACTCCTCAGATAATATCCAAATTCCATATTATGTAAAAGAGAAGGTGAAAACGGAATAATGGAAATCCCATAAAGTGTTTTAATTGGATTATAGTAAACATTTTCTAGAATTATAACAGAATATCAGAAATATACATGTTAATATGATGTATACATATACAGTTAATGGTTCACATAGTTGGTACACAAACTAGATTAGATTTAAATTTATTATTATATGAATATATGAAATATATGAGAGTTTTTTGAGCCAGACTGTATGTATTTTAGGTGCGAGTTTAGCTACCAGTAAAATAAATGTTTTCAATAATTTAGTATTTTTAATATATGAAATATATTATTAAAAATACGCATGACCGCTTTATTCTTAACTTTGTTTAATACAAAAGTGTTCCTGGCCCGCACATAGTTGTAACCATTCCGTATAATAAAATTAATATAATAATTATGTAGGTATATAACTAATATGACGTACACACTCACATCTCTGGTCTAATCGGCTTTGGACTCCACAACAAGACTTTGCCGTGCCACTACAATCGTTACGAAACTTTACGTTACGTTAATAAAATAAGTTTAATCAAGTAAACTTATCGGAGTGCATTTAAAAGAACTAGTATTGAACCAAAGCTTTGATCAATCATGCGACGACAAAGGTTTTTTGTGGTTGTTGAATAGGACTCTTTGGGTGGAGTTATTTTCTCTCGTCGAATGTCTGCCGCTGTGAGAGATTACAAGTCTGAAAAGACCTTTTAAATAACTCTGCATACCTCGAATGTCAGCGCCGGTGATGCGCAAGATGTATTCGATGGAATCAGTTTTAACATTAGTACGACACTAATACTCTATTTGATTTTTCATTTTAGAAAAATTGGGTTCTAACCGCTATGAGTGCGACACAGGAAGGATTGCAGGTGACATTTTTCGAAGGTTCACTTTGCTTAATAAGCTGCATATTGAAACCGATAATACGAGTATATACCGATGATACCGATGATGATGACTACCGAGTAATATCGATTTGTTTATAAATTGTCACGTCTATCTTTATACTGTATTAATTAAATTTCAATGAATTAGGTCTGAAAACATAAGTCTGAAGTCAGTCATATTAGTGAGTATACTTGTATCATAGAGATTGAAAATATAAGTGTGATAAAACATAAGTTGATTTACTAGTGGGAAAGATGAGTCTGATACAATATAAATCAAAAGGAGCACACTATAGAACCATCGCCAATATTAAACTATTAGCAACCATAACGTATAAATAATTATCCCTAATCAGGGTTTGTAGAGTCAGGGCGTGTAGAGTTAAAAGTTTAGCTCTACATAAAATCTGATAACTTTTTGACAGTGCGAGTCATATAGTCGCGTCTTGCAAACATTTTACATGAAAATGTTTTTGGTTTTATTTTTCTTCTTGTAATTGCAATTATGCATTTTCCTTAAGATTTGGATGTCAGAAGAATTTAAGATATTATTAAACACTTTAAAACGCCTGGACTGAAAATTACTCGTCATAAATAAATTCGATTTTAGTACATTTAAACGATTATTCGTTTTCAAGGGAATTTGAAGAGCCTCAACACTACGGTAAAGGGCCTAACTACGTGACTTTGAAATTAAGTTAGAAAAAAAAACATCTATTATGTATAAATTAGTTATTTTTATTTGTTTCAAAGATTTCAATTTAATCATTAAGAATTGTATATCTTGCAACAAATTAAAAATAGCTACATAACTGGCATGTCGGACTCGAACCGACTAAAACCGCATGCCGTCTCGGGTATCCCCTAAACCAGGGGAACCAGGGAACCAGGTATACCCTAGAAAGGAAGTCCCTGGTGCCCCGACATACCTCGGGCCGTCTACAACAAGTAGAACCCCATGTTTCCTCTGCCCCCTGGAAGCGAGCGCGCTTCGCAACGCGCTCGCCGCCACCCCGGCCTGCTTCTGCTAGGGTAACAGATGGTTGTGAGTTACGCCTGTACAAAGTTGATTCTTCTTGAGAAAGATGAAACGTCAAACGGTACCTCTTAGATTAGATGGACCATAATAGGGTTTTTAGATATCAATAAAATCTGCAGTATAAGAGCACGCTATTGAAACTTCATACATATGTTCATATGTGATAAGTTCACTATCGACATCATATCCTGAGAATTTCGTGTATCTGGTATAATCTAAACCCTTAGTTATGTGGGTTCAAAAAAACGACGGAACGCTTCGAGAAAAAGTAGTTCGGTAGCGCGCTTTGCTTGGCTCGTCTTGGCACTGCCGTGCCACCAGATATACTCGTACTAGTAATTCTAGTACTTCTCTCTCTGGCAGCGATCTTCGTTATCATGCTGTCTTCGAGTCATTTATCTTAATCTAATACTGGATAATCTATATCTATATCTTGCAATAACCTTTCAATAACGACCACTGCGTGTATTCTACCAAAACGATTTCTAGTAAAAAGATAACTTTACAAACATGAAACTGATTTTAATACACCAATGTTAGCACTAAAAATAACGTCTTTTACAAAGTACAGACATATCAAAGAATATGTTCAAGAGAAATAGTGGAGTGAGGTGGAACAAGTCAACATGAATTTGTACCGGAGTCTTTGCCGTCGGCGGCAGGCTTAGCATGACACGGTTAAAGCCTTATTTTTGTGTCTGGCCTGCCCGCTTGTCAGGCCGCCGTCGCACAAAGCCATGTGAAAATATAGGATCAAAGTGTGCCGCACCCTTGCATGCCATCGAAATGTGTAAACAAAAAGCTGTATTTTATTCGTATGTCATTACATTTTTTATTCGTTATGTAACCTAAAAAGGCTCTTAACAATTTTGAGTAACAATTTTGACTTAGGCAAGTAACAATTTTGAGAATAATAAAGATTGAAACAGACAAATAAGTAGATTAAAATGCTAGTTTAAATATTTTATTACTTTATACCTTAAATCAGTTCTACAATAGTTAATATCACTTTTCCTTGAATATTAATTTAACATTACTGACAATTTTTATTGTATTTTATTCACAAATTTTATTAATTTAGTTTACAATCATGTGTGATTTAAAATTAATTTGTTGTTTTCAAGCTTTAATTTTTTTTCTTTTTGTCTTCTTTTTTTTATTATTTTTCTAATAAAAATCAAATTTAAACCAAAATTTCTAGCTTCGCCAAATAAGTTAATGCGAGACGGACCACGTATTCATTGTAACTTAATACCTTTTATAAGAGAGAGAGAGAACCAACACGTCTATATACACCAATACATTTTTGTTAATTTACTTTGCCACTGATAATTACTTTGTACTATTTGGAACAATACAACTTTTTGTAATTTGTAATTTCCTAATAGACTTCAAGTTATCTGATAGAAAGTCATTGATACACTAGTTATGCGTCGTACGCGTAAATCCTGTAAATAAGTAAATATACTAAACGCAAAATAGTGATTATGACTAGTAATGGTCGCGTGTTGAAAATTTATCCAAAGTTTAATAAAAAAATATCGGCTTCGTACCATCACAGCCAAAGCGTCTATAAAAGTATGTTGTGTGAACATGTAATCATAATTAAATTAAGAATTCTTATTAAGAATTCAATGTTAATTATAAAATATAGGATGTAAAGGTTTACAGGTCGTAAGTGAGAACACAATAGCGACTACCCCTATATTAGGACACAATGTAACGAATTGTTCAGGGACGATACAAAATAAGTTTATGAGGGGCTGTGTTTGATGTGGTCAATGTTATCTGTTAGTCTTGAGCACTCGAAGGTGGTAGCCTAGCGTGGGTGAGATAACTTCGCTCCCGTATTACGTCTCATTGTTCGCGAAATTATGAGAGCCGAGGGTTGTTTGTTTACTTTTTTCTACGTGACAATGAATGTTATTCTTGCTTAAGGACACCGGGTTTCGAACTGTATTGCATATATGTTGCGTATATATTATATTACTTTTGGTTTCTAAATATATAATACATATTTTCAAAAGTTAAAAACAGATAGTAAAAACGGACGAGTAGACGTGTGTGTTAGGATTTTGAACAGTTCTCATATTTATAATAAAATAACGACGCGAAAGATAAATCATTTTAAAGCTGTAGAAAGTCTAGGCTCATCCTAGCACTTGTAACATGTATATTATTTACTCAGTCGGCTTCGGCGCAGGCGGCGCTTCAAGCTGCCCAGGCGATCTCCAACAGCGCCGGGGCGGCGCTGGTCGCTGGGGCTGGAGCAGCACTGCAGCCCGCTAACGGAGGCACAGAAATACAGGTAAGCGATAAAATTCTTGACAGGTTATTGAATTTTGCATTTCGTATAACCACAATGCCTATATGTTACTTTACAAATGTCTCTCTATTCTGTAGGTACTGACCGTCTTTAATGCTCTGAAGTGAACCCCTTGATGTTCACAATTTCCAAATAAAACGAAAAACAAAATTTATAAAAATTTTACCCATGGATTTTTTAGTATTTATTTATCTATCATCACATTATATACAATTACAATTTATCCAGCCGTTCTTAGAAGGACTGGTATCAGACCTCCACAACCCAAGAACTAGGCGATATCGAAGTTCTGTAGAAAGCCTGCTGCCGGACTTTTTAGGGCTCCAACTACCCGTAACGGTTGCCACATATGGTTCGTATGGCAACCGGGAACGACGACTTAACGTACTTGCCGAGGTACGGAGGAGTCTCAATGTGTTAAGAATGGTCTCCCATCTATAGACTGACCTGGCTAGGATTGCTTAACTTTGCAATGTGTTAACCTACTCGGTCCCACTTAGCCACGAGCCTCACTCGTTAACTACTATATAATTATTAGGAGCGAACCGATTACACGGATGGCAAATATTGTAGTCGTTTCTCAAATTAGATTACAGCATTCTCCAAGGGCGGCTAAAACGATGTGCATACAAATAGAGTTTTGTTTTAAGTCCATCGACAGCTTGTTGCAGCCTCTAACTAAGACTTGGATCATGCAGCACTCAATCAATATGCTTAACTCCTTAGGGTACTCATTGTATTAACATATTGCTTGGTTGATATTATATTACTCATATCAAATTAAAAACCAACCAATTGAGTTTTTCTTTCCAATATTTTTCTAATAAGTATAAATTTTCCCTAATACTTTCGTTCAGTAACAATAATTAAAAATAAGAATATTTCAACAATATAGTTTTAATAAATCGTAAACAGAAAAACGAATAATATTACACATAAATACATTATTCAATTGTGATTAGAATGTATGTATGTAAAGGTTTTGACATTTTACCAAAGTTTTTATAATAGGTCTATGCTTATATCCTCCGTTCAAACGGAGATTGTAATGTAATACGAGTACTTATTAAAAAAAACATATTTGCAAGTAATATTTAAATTAGGAAATGAAACGCACTAGTGACGAATATTTAAACTCAACTATTTATTAGTAGAACATATTAAGTATATATTAGATGTAACGCTACGCTCCGTAATGTAATAACAGCTAGTTCCTTCCTTGTACGAGTGTCTTGGCCGCGACTTGGCAAAGCGTCAATATTGGGTTTAATTTATTGATAAGCTATTATCCTATACACAAATTAATGCTGTTTAATCAATCTTCGAGAAAACAAATTATTAAATTTTTTGGGAACATTACTCTGTTAGGATAACAAAGTATCCTTGTAAAATTAATTAAATGAAACGATTTTACATTAATAAAGAAATTCAAAATACTCGAATATGCCTTTTTGAGGCTACAAATTAATTACGCTCTTTGTATGTTTATAATCTTGTTAATAGTTGGAATTCACGAAATGATTCATTTTGATAACATTTTATTAATGTTCTATTTTTTCTACCAGGGTGGCCCCAACACAGTCCTACGTGTGATCATAGAACACATGTTATACCCGATAGTACTTGACGTGTTGTACTCCATCTTCCAACGATATGGCAAGGTGCTCAAGATTGTCACATTCACTAAAAATAGTAAGTATTTCACAATTTCATTTGAGGTATATGAGGATGAATATACAATGAGAAATGGAGTAACGCTGAAATTAATTTACGTAACGAAATTATGCATATGTATTTGAAATGTTTACCGAAGACAGAAACGTCTTGAGCGACAAACTCAATTTTGATAGATGACACTCAGGCACTCGCCGACAACCGCGTGCGCGAATGAAGATCGTAGAGTAAAAAGGCAAGGAAGTAAGGGGAGTAGAGCGACGAGGTCGCATTACCGCACCCTTTAAATAATAACTCCCAACCTCATACGCCGCCGACTCAGGAGGCTTTCGTTTGTTTTTGCACAAAATCCACCTAATTAATTATGCAGCAGCTCAGTTATTTGCCATAAAATGTATTGTTTACTAAGCGTACTTTACAGTTACAGTGGCTAAAACAACTATTATTGAATAAAACAAGGCGAGCTTCAAAATTAATTTCGGACGAACTTGTTATAGTGATAGATTTACGAAACATAACACAGGCTCAAAATCCAAGGGCGCAATCCGTTTAAAATTTAAATTGTACCCTCATGCATATCCTAAATAAATCCGGCACACAGGAGCCAGGTAGAAGTAGGTACATATTTGATAAGCTCCCCCGAACAGAAGCCCGCGGCGTGGCACGCCACTCCCGCACTGCTCACTCTTGGCTAATTACACAATACCTAGCCTCACCTCAAATCAACTTTATTTAAAAACCTCGCTGGGCTACGCTCTGAAAATCAGTTGGCACGTGAAAATTACGAGCTAAAATGATATTTTTCAACATTTTCTTCACGACCCCTTTTCATAATTACCTCGAATCTAAAATATTATATTTTCATTAAATTTCTTTAGTTCACCTTTAATTATCACTATCGGTGATTTTACTTGAGGTACGACATAATCAGAAGATGTTGGTCAGTATATTGCAGGTCAATATACTGACCAACATTTAAGACAATAAAAATAATAATATTTTCGGACATCTGACACACAGTTTCAAACTAAGCAGAGCTCATACGAGTACTATGAAAGGTAGATTGACTGATAGAATACTTTTATACTTTTTTTTCGTAAATACATACATATTATACATAAAAAACACCCAAACTCCAAAACAAATATTTGCAGATCGTACAAACATTTGGTCCGACCCGGGAATCGAACCCTAGACCTCAGCATATCAGTTGTATACCGAGGCAGTCACAATTTCACATGTACACATTGTACACACTGCAGTGACTTAAATACCGCAGTTACATTCACAAAAATTATTAAAATAACTGTAGACCAGCTTCATCTCTTTGATAACGGTGTGTTTTACGTCTTTCAATTATCAAATGCCTCTAGAGATCCGATTATTGAAATTAATGATAAATGAATAATCATAGCAATGAAATCGTGAAAAATAGAATTCAAGTAATTAATTTTTATCGGGCCTTCATTAATTAAGTCGGTTCGGCACCGTTTAACGTCAATGATTAATATTTAATTTCAAATATTAAGCTCTTCTTATTAATCTTTTTCTAAAATAAATATTGAGTATTAATTTCAGTTTAGAGAAGAGACTGAGAAGTTTAATGCCACATTTTGTAAAATGTATTAATTATTTCACCCTCCTCTCAACCTCTAATTGTTAGCGTCCACCCTTCTCTTTTCTTCCCATAAAACTTTATTTGCTAAGATACTATTGTTTGTATTTATAACGTTATCAAAATTTGGTTATCCAAGCTATGATTACAAACCCCTTATGTATCGAAAATGTAATCCACACACGTACTTACACAATACGTTGTAATATAAACAAACATTCGTATAAAAAAGCGATCAAACTCAAATTACACCGCAATCTGCCATTACAGTTAATAGGTTTTGTTCCCGCACAATATCTCAATAGATACGATCATATGTGGGAGTAAGCAGTTCGGATGGCTTCGGATACGCGCGTAACTGTCGATATCTCGTATTGCGACTGCACTAATGTTGCAATTCCAGTATTTCTAATTTCCGAGTGGCCGCTACTGGCTCCCCAAACTGCTATTTGCTTTTTACCACATCCATCATTGTCCAATTGTAAAAGCTTTTGTCTCCGGGCAATTTCCCGGCTTGAATATTCATAACATTACCTGGCTGGTAGCGCTTTACTATAATAAATAGCTAGTAGTAAATAATAATAGCCACCGGTGGGTAATTACTACCTTTGCAATAAACTACTTATTTACTATGTAAAAACGACTTATGAAAATTAGTTAAAATTAATATGATTAACATTTTTGATAACATTCTACTATCGCTAAATTAGGAACAGTGTTGAGCTACGCTTCAAGAAGCCACTTATGATTTTATTACAATAAGATGCCTCTCCTTCTATAACACGCTTAGCGAAACTTTGAAATCCGCCTAAACCGGAATACAAGCCGAAGCAGGTTGCATATCCGAAACGTATGAATCCTTACTTCAATTATCTTGTCTCACGAGGGAGTAAATAAACCACACAGCTATATCGTTCTCATTTTCACTTTCAACACCCGCTATGTGTCACGCACCGGCCTAAACTTATGTAAAAGTATATACATATTTCACTTGATACTCGATTTCATAAAACGTTTTCTTCGTGTTAATGTATAGTGATATTCGTGGGCTTTTTCAAACGCATAATTAAACGTTTTTACTTTTTCATGTGGGAAGTGAATCTGAAATGAAATTTAAATATAATTTTCTATTAACACACTCGATGTTACCCCAAGCTGTTCATAGGAGGAAAAGGAACATTGGCTGGGGGAGTTGTTTACCGCTCTTATCTTAAGTAGCACATGTAATTTAAATCGGAAATGTAATATTAAACGTTTATCTGTATTTAAACATTTACCTTCGCTCATCAAAGCCACAATTTTCTTATAAAATTAATCTCATACAAATTGTTGTCGAATTTTGTTTCATCTTATTTCATGCGTGTTACTTTTATGAGTTTCGTCAAAGTTTGTCTTATGAATATTCTGTTACGTTTATATCGCTTTAGTAGGTACTGAATGTAACACAGAGTTTATAATAGCGGTTCCAGTTCGTTGGCGCGTCGACCACGGGCTGACGGGAGGTTACCTTCAAACGCGTTCCTAATCCCGAAACAAATCTCAATGAAGAGCGTGGAGTCGCCGTAATCCTACACCACCCCCCTCGCTGCCCCGACAAGCCCTTGCCCCGCAACCAACCCCGATTGGCTTTATTAAGGTGTAGCAGACCGCTACAATTATTATGCGTCCCCTGTTTGCGGTAGGTGTCGTCTCTATGTCATCGTTGGATTCCCTTAATTAAGGGTTTGATTCGTCTACAAATATCATTGTTGCGGTAGCGTGATAGGTTGTATGATCAGTAATAACCGAGCTCTTAATTAAATCACTGCTAGAACCAAAGCCTTCTAGCCTTCTTTAACTCCAATTTGGTCTTATATCTTATTAGTTTAATATTTAAAGAAACCCATTTTAAAAGCATACTTACACTGATTCTAACGAATTTATAAAATATTATTTTATTTTACGTTGTAGTTTTTTTAGAGAATTGCAAGATGTATCAGAGTATCGAAGGTGAAGGTTAGTTGAAAAGGCGCTTAAATTTGGAACGAGGATTCATTCAGGCTTGACAGAGCTCGCTCATTTCAGGGGAGACGGCGAGATTTAAGATATCAAATTATACTGTAATCGGTCGGTCGGCGCACCGCCCTGCTCTGCCCCACCGCTTAATATTAACATAGCGGAAGCAACCTCTTTGCTACACAGCGAAATGCGGATTACAAAATTTTAATTTTACCACAACTTCCATCTTGTTTTTACATAGACATAGACATTGACATTTAAATATTCTACAAAGTAATTGCGCATTCCAGTTGAATTTTTAATGTAACATAATGAACCAGCGCGTACGCTATGGATTGATTGAGATTTGAATTTCTCGCGCGCAATCGGAGCCGCAAGCAACGATATTGAATTAGCGCTTGAATATTTCAGCTTGGATAAATAAAACAGAGCAAAGGGGACAATTATTTTGGGCAATTTCCATTTTAGATCTTGCTTAAACTGCATAAAACTTTTCGTGTCAATAGCACAACTCGCAGAACCAGGGATTGAATTTTAATTATCCTTTATTAACTTCATGATTAAAATATTTCTAAATACAAATCATAATGATGTTAACCGAAGATTAAAAAAACTATAAATCTTATCAATTTCTCATCTCATCATCAATCATTTAGATCATTATTGGGCTAATGTTGGATTCTCTCTGCAGTTAATTAGGTCATATACTCATAAAAATTTAACATCATAGGAATGTGGTTATAGCAAAATATGTCAGTTGTACAAGAACATTCCTCGAGGCGAACTTTCAACACGCCCCTGTTAACAACATACTGTGAGGCAAAGAAACATTTAGAAAGCTAAAATAAACAAATAAATATGCTCGGGGGGCTCTCATGTTGTAATCTGTTTTATGTACTTTTTGTAAGTATACACGGTATATATGTATGTTTATGCAATATCTTATAAACCCATTACATCCTATATTTTACGTTACTTTTAATTTGTACTCTACCCCTTTTTTAAATCAAAGATTTCACCATAAAGCCATTTCAAGATATTTTGATTAAAATATTACTGACATTCAGTCTAATTGCTGTCATTGGTTAGCTTGATACATTTTGACCAAAATTATAGGTCAAGGTGATATCATCGGGTGATAAGAATGGTTTTAAACAAATGTGTATTATTTTTGGCTACGACTTATTGAATCGAAGTAACTCGAAATCAGAATATCTCCGATTATAAAATATTTCCTTAATAAAACAAGTATCCCGTCAATATAATTTAAAAATAAATATCACGGTTCGTTTTCGTGCCGCCATTCACGCCGTATATTAGGTAGGTAGGTAAAGGACAATGTAGGTAGGTATTTAAAGGTTAATGTAATTATAAGAAATAGCTAAAGGCATAAAAAGTACTCCAAAGTAGTTTAACTCAAAAAAAATGTAGATCAACCTTTTGCCATACAAAGTACGAATTATATAATAAAAAGTAGAAGCAACAAGCAAGTTACATTTAACGAGGTTTAGGCGAATACACTGGTACAATGGTACTAAAGTTGTTTATATGTACTTCTGTTGTAATCAGTAGAATAGACAAAACATATATATTTATTTAGTAATTTATTTACCGTTAACAACAGAAGAGAGCTTGCAAGAAAAATATATACAATGTCTCACATTGTATGGTCTCAGTGCACTTGAGGTAACTGGCGCATGCTAGTGCCTGTCTTCATTGTCCTCATAAAACTCTTTTTGCTTATTCACGATGTAATTACATAAAAAACTCCAATTTGCGGTAAGCCTTTAATGCATTCCATTTTAACGTTCCCAAATGGTTGTTCAAAGAAAATATGGGGCCTTAAAGAGCATTTAACTATGTATGAAGGAGACAGGCGTTACTTTTAATTTAGGTCGACGTTTTCTGCTATGGAGTGGTTCTACGTTCTTTATTTTATGGTCGGTAAATTGTTAACTACTAGAGTAGTTAGATAATGAGGAATGAGACTTTGTGAAAGAGGCCTCGGCCGGACCTATGATGTCATCCGAAAAAAAAATCAGAGAAATCTTGTAAAATTCAGTAAGTAGTTCAGTTAACCATTTATAAATAGTAAATTGACCAAAATGTATGCAAATGAAAACATTTACACGTCCAAAACTTTACACATACAAGGCAGCAAGCACGAGGAGTTACATACAGGTTAATTTATTTACCTATTTATTACTTTAGTTATTCATTTACAAAATTCACCAAAGTCTATTCTTTGTTAAGATTCTTGTACTTACTGAACTACAAATATTACTGTGAGTATCTCTTAAATGTGTCTTCTTATTAAACAATGAAAATCTATGACTTTCGAAGCTTTCACATATGAAAATGTATATTTTAAAAACTTTCGCACAACAACACTGGCGCCCCACTTACATTTAATAGTCTGTACAAAGCCTTAACCGTTGGCGAGACGTTGTCACGGCGTCTAATGGTACGTTATGTGGCCGGCCCAGGTGTTGCCAACCCGGACGATGCTTCCTAAAAATGTGAATTTATGTGCTCGCCCCACGAGCGGCAATGATCGCTCGGCTCATGCCTTAAATTAGGGGGTTTAGCGCTTATCCTCTCGCAGTAAATAAACTCCACCAACTATATTACTTGCGGAACCATTCACTTAAATGCCTATCTACCGTAATTGTTTATATACTTGCTTCGGTGATTAATGCCTGTTGATCGTTGATGTCTGAGAATAAATTATTATTTAACTATGTTGATCAGACTTTAGCATTGAACTTAAAAGGCAGTCAAGTCTGAGTGATTGCGACAGCCGCAATAAATTTGAACTACCCAGTTAATGATGAAAGCAAAATAGCCATGAAAGTTGTTTACTGGAATATACGCTAAAGCGTTGTACATGATAAAATAACTGCGGTGCACCTGAGACTAACTCGCAATAGGCGGAGGATCGCACAAGGTCCCACGTTGGGCGCCAATTTCGCCTTGTTGGAACGTTCTTGTGAACAAGATATTGCCTGTCAGGAATTCTGTGAGACATCCAACACTAGAGTACTCCAGAAAAAATTGTTTTACTACTAATAAAACTGTTATATTTTTTAAGACGTAAATGTAACATGTAGCGATGAGGATTTCACAAGATTGTAGTAACTTAAAGTAATCGTTATAATAAAGAAAATGAAGGAGAAAAATATATTTAAATAATTCATAATTCGTTTTATGGTATCCTCACCCAAAATGTATTTTGTTTACAGATTCATTCCAAGCTCTCATTCAGTATCCAGACACCGTATCGGCACAGACAGCGAAAACAGTGAGTACTAAACATTTTTAGTTTTTATTTTACCCTTCTTACAAGTAAAGCGATAAAACGAAGTTGCTATTACTTCACGTTTCATTCACTTTAATGATTGGTTCCCGAACTGCCTAGAAATAAAGTGACTCACTCTAATCCATATCTACTAACAAGGAAGTTCATATCGATAACGACCGCTGCACTTTAGATATAAGTTTATGAAAATTGACTTGGTAATAAAAATTACAAAGAACAAATGAAAAAGTTTTCATAAAGCTTTTAAGTTTATATAGTTTGACCGCCCTCGAAACATGAAACTTGTATGTAGTATGTCCGTCCGCCGTAGTAAGAGTCGTTCGTAAGCTTACTTACAACATAGCTTGAACAACTACAGACCGTTTATGTGTATTTAATAACAATAATATCGAGAAACAACCTGGCAGCGTCGAGCCCACGACAATAGTCACAGCCCGGCTCGCCGAGTGGGACATCATTTTTCTCGACTCAACTTTTCCCGTTCGCTATTCATTTGCGTTAGAAGTTGGACGTACTGCCGCCTACTGCAGCAACTGTTTTAACTTTATTTCTGATGCAGCGTTCAGGGCAAATTAAATTTCGTTTTGCGGCTTCCGCAAACTCGCTTTACGAGTATAATTATCGGGTTTTGTGTTTTTTCATTCCCATACAGTTATGAATCACTGAACGTAACTTTATTTGAGACCGCTGGCGGCCAGATAAGTTTTTGCTTTCTAAAATACATTATTAAAAATTCACATACCTTTTACCACAAATATGTTCATCGATATTTCAGTTATGGTAATTCATAATCCTGATAATGCGTACCAGAATAGTACAAAAGATAATTTTAACATGCTCGTTACTCTATTCATTTGTCGAATTTGTATTAATACCTTAGGCGTAGGTACATTTCGTTAATGAATTCAACAATAGCGAGTCGACTATCCGTTCTAATTAGTCGCTCTTTACGCCCAATTCCTGTGGAGCTTAATACGATTGGTACAAGCAATAAACTTAAGGCACAAGACATCTTGCCAGGGGAGTTATACGTATACCCCTGAATACGCATCTCACTCAGCTTATAACTTAAGGGCAAATTAATGTTGGGAAGCGGGGAAACCCCTCGTGAAATTGAGATACCAACCAGAGAGCGAGCGGAGTGGTGAAAACTTAGCAACGCTAAGTCCCATCAACTCGGTCGTGATAGGAGTTGAGAATTGGACCGTTACCAACTGCAAGTGGATTTAGTGCGGGTTTATTTTTGTATGTAATGAAGGAATTTGAGCTATGTAACATTTTGTGCATTGCACTATTACTTCACATTTTAAGTAATCACTCGTTAAACTTATTTCAAGTATACGTTCGTTTTTTTTTAAAGACAACCTGCATTAAGAACATATCCTATGTCGCGGGAGACTTTACAAACATAAAATAAAACATAAAACTGACACAAAGAGCACGAAATGTTGTCCCATGCTTGGTCGAACCCACAACACTCACGCAGTAGGATGCAGCTATACATACACTGCGCCATACATACAAAAGAGTGAGTGTGTATATACTACAAACAGTTGTGTTAGTAATGCGTGGAAGTCAAACCCGAAAGGATTTCTTGCCTTTACAACGTCAGTATAAGTAGGTTATTAAAGAATTATCTTTTTAATAATGAGTTGGGAATATAGTATGAGGTATTATCCATCGGGCACTTTAAAACAGTTTTATTGTTGCATATATTCATCTGTATAATAATAATCATTTAAATTACATTTTAAGTGTAATGTATAATAGTTTGTAATTATTACACATTACACTTAAATATGTCCGTGTAGTGACGGATTAAGAATACGGAATGTCACTACCCCAATTCATCCCGTGGGTGTCGTAAGAGTCGACTAAGGGCGCAAAACAACGCAGGACACCAGCACTGCAAAAAGAAGGAAAACTTGACACAAACCCTATACCAACCCGTCTGGCCAGCGTGGTATAGTAGGCCAAAACCTCCTTTCTAAGGAGAGGCCTATGTTCAGCAGTGGACTATATATGTAGGCTGTTGATGTGATGTGTGATGTGAAATTACATTTTTAACACAAATTGAAATGAATATAGCATTCTTAACTCCGTTGACAGCGCAATAACACGGCTCTACTTCGTACTTTAGTTTCGTGGCAGTGGTCTCGACAGCAATAAGTCTAGATCTCGTTAACGGATCTGGCATCGTAACTCCGGGACGAATTAACGAGCATACAATGTCAGTACTACATCTATTTTTACTGCCCCCTGTTTATTACAATACTGCATGCAATCGTAAGTCCCTAATCATTGTTTATGGAAGAGGTTGAGAAGCACGAGCCTTTTTTGGTCTATTGGTTTCATTGAGTATTTTGTCTACCTACTATATGAGGTACTATCAGTATTTTAAAAATTGGTAATCGATTGAGATATAAAGTAAGCCTGTTTTTTCATTGAGGAAGTTTCGCTAATGGTTAGGTTCAACTGCTGAAGATAGATTAATTGGTAGTTATGTTTACTTTTAAAAGTAAAATGCTAAGTTGCACGCAAAACTGTTTCAAGAAGCATACTATACCTATTTACATTTGATTACATACCCAGGTGTATGAATGTTTGTTTTTTTAAAAGTCTGTAATGCAAATCAAGATAATCGAGTAATATCTTTCTATAAGAAAGCTGGTAGCATTTAGACATCTCATTACCAAAATTAAAGCTTTGTCTCACCTGCCTTCATGCAACGCATTACTTCCTTTGTACAAGCCGTGAATCAGATAGAGACATACAATATACGAGTATGTACATATAAACCGTAAGTGAGGCTTCAGTTCGGTGCACCGTAGTCCGACTGGACTGGGATTTTTCTCGAAATGGAATTAAAACGTCCCGCGAGGTAAGTGGCAGCACAAGTAAGAGGTACAAAGTGAAGTGAAGCCGGATAGTGCTCCAGCCACAAAGGGCACAGTCGGATGTTAGGAGCTCTGAAATCCCCGATCCGGCCTCTATGATCCTTGACATAAATCTCTAACCTCGCCATCAAATCTTTTCAGAGGGCGGCTTATGCGCGCAGACACGAAATGTACGCTTAATGCGCTCGACTACATATGCTTAAATACATACTTACATACTCGTATGCCGCTTAGTATCCTTACCGAAAAGACTTTTATTTAAAACAACTAAATTCGTAGTAAGTTAGGAGTCGTTGCCCGTTCCTCTACGCTTAGATCTTTCAAACTATACAACGGATTTTAATGCGTTATATTTTATTATATTGTACCCAAACGAATAATTGTCAAGTCAGAATCAAAACCTGTACTGTTAGGAAATATAACGATCTACAAAAAAGGTCTGTAATGATTTTTGGCTGCCATAGCAAGTCGCGACTGTGATTCGGGTATAAAATGGGTCTTAGCAAATGATTAAAAAAAATCACAATTAAAAAACTATTTATTATATAAATATTCAAAAGCTAGATAACAAATAAATACTTAAAATAAGTACCCATAAAGCTAGGTTTTCATCAATACAGAAAGCAACTAGAAGTGGACATTTAGAAATTACTAATTGTAATAAAATATGTTTTTTAGAAATATAAAATAACTAATTTATGTTTGTTTCTACTTTGACTTTATCGCTTTGCGCTTTTGTACTTAATAAAGGTAGGAGTTTCTTAAGTATCAGTCAATAAGACATAGCCCAAGCTACATTTTGTTTACTTTCATTATCAATTCACACTCAATTTTTTTAATAATGTGGAATCTGGATTGTCATTCAATATAGTTATACAAAGGTAACAGGGAACAGTATTTAACCTTTAACTGCAGTATTTAATAAATGAAGTATAGAAGCACAAGCAATTTGGCTATTGTCAATTTGGCAAGTAGGAGGTGTGAGACAGTTGTCATTAGTGAAGTAATAGTATCGTAGCTCCGTTAATCAGAATCTTGGCCGCTCCATCAGTAAGTTATGATTGATAACAACGTGATTCATGCAAGCCCAGGGCCGGCAGCCCTCCACACTCGTGACTCATCCATAACCCTCCCGACGCTGTCAAAGACAATCCATATTAACAGTGTACGTGGTGACTACCGGCTCCATTGTTTATGTTCACGACGATTTTTCGTCACGGCCCACCTGTCATATACTCGTAAGCATACTCAGCTTGTATAACAAATATTTTTTATTAACAAATATAAATATCCATTAATCAGATTTAGTTGACGTAACAGTGCTACTTTGTACCCTAACGGGCACTCGATTTATTTGTTTGTACGATCAATAACTAAGTCGTCGAACACGTCTATGACGTTCAGAAATATAGCTTGCTGTTATTGATTTGTTTTTAATTCTATGTATATATTTTTTCCTGTAAAATAATAAGTAAGTAAAATAATTTAGGTATGTATTTTTAACTATTTTTTGCGGACGGAACATTACGATTTTGTACCCTAAAGAGAACTCAACCATTTGGTTACGAAAAACTTTAATTTAAGAATTATCACTGAATCTCTGTAGAATTTGCAAATCCTGAAAGTAATTAAAAAGTAAAGAAACGAATATTCTAAATTCAACATTTCCTAGACACTTATGTCTCCAGTCTACTGAAATTTACAAAAAAAAAAACATTCCGACATAAATTATTAATTTAGTGCACATCTAAAGTAATCTGCAAAAATATTTATTATAAAAGTTATATGTGCCTGTTCGTATTTTTCATATAAATGAGGTAAACTTGACAAGTCTCGTCTCCGAGGTTCAATAAGGCAAAATCCGAGATAGCGTTTATAGACTCAAGGTGCGCGCTTTGTTTACATTTTAAAATTGCACTTTGCGCTGCGGCAGCGTCTAACCGGGGTCTTTATGCCAACACTGGGTCATGTTCAAACAATGTAACCGTCAAAAATGTTATATCTTTGCACTGAACAAATATGTACTTCTGCGTCGAGTAGTTAACGTCTCGCTTTGAATCTAGTGCACTAAAAGTGCACAGATCA